ATGGCAAGACAAAGAGAGGGAGGGAGAGAGAGAGAGAGAGAGAAGAGAGAGAGAGAGAGAGAGAGAGAGAAGAGAGAGAGAGAGAGAGAGAGAGAGAGAGAGAGAGAGAGAGAGAGAGAGAGAGAGGGAGAGAGGGAGAAGAGGGAGAGGGAGAGGGAGAGGGAGAGGGAGAGGGAGAGGAGAGGGAGAGGGAGAGAGAGAAAGAGAAAGAGAGAAGCGAAGAAAAGTGAATGAGAGAGAGGGGGGGGGGAAGGAGAGGGGGAGGGAAGAGAGAGGGACAGTAAAGAGAAAAAGAAAAAAGGATTTGGTGGCATAAACTAAAAACGTGTCACTTCAACAAGTTACATAAAACATCCTATCAAACCTACTTCTTTTGTATATATATTTTTTTACTATACCGCAATACTTTGAGGTCTTCTGCCTGTATCATAAGCATGCGGAACACTTCCCAGAAGACCGTGACGTCCGTTTCCGTATGACGAATTTCCATTTTAATCTTGTGCTACGAAGATTTTATACTACTATTACTAGCTTAAATAAAAGAAGTGTAATCATACGTTATTATTCTAGATTATGTCTATATACAATATAGTAGCCTCCTTTGCTCAATTTTATTAATTATATGCCATGTCATATATATGAGAATGCTTCGTATGATTATTGGGACCTCACTCGGATGACGTCAGGTTGTTTACATGGCACATGTTAGCCACCTTGGTATGCCTGCGTGATAGCGTTAGAGTTTGCATGTGGAGAGAGAGAGAGAGAGAGAGAGAGAGAGAGAGAGAGAGAGAGGAGAGAGAGAGAGAGAGAGAGAGAGAGAGAGAGAGAGAGAGAGAGAGAGAGAGAGAGAGAAATATTTGTCTCTGAATCCATACTACTGTGAGGTACATTTATAGCCAAATAAAGGGGAAAAAAATCATCATGGATGAATACCATATATTTCTTTCTAAAAAAACGTTACCACCAACTAAGAAAGTACAAAAGTCATTATATACACCATACAGATATTCAACAGAAAACGAGACAAGGAACAAATTAATACATCCGTAGCCCTTTATCACATATCAAACTTTTTAAAATGTCATGTAAAAAGACGATTCCTTTTTTATAACTCTTCTTTGGATTCTTTAATTAATGGAGCGTGTCTTGATTCCCAATCTAGGAAAGACCCGTAGTACAACCTGGAAAAAAACAACATATTGTTGATTTCTGGCAGACTGCAAACTGGAGTTGAGTTGTCCATGTATTTTATAACTGCTGTGAATGTTGAAAGTTGAATGGAAGTAGCGTAATCTTATGAAAGGTTACTTCTAACTCGATATACACAAAATCACAAGCTTATGTGCGTATGTGTCTGCAGAAGAACATATACATACAGGCACACACACACATACCCACATGTGGACAACCGTTAACAATACAGACAAAAAGATATATAGAGAGGGCACCTGAGAGTCGTTAACACAAACACAAACGGCCTATTTTCAAAATTGCGAGAAACAAAAAACTATTGAAATGAATAAAAGACATAAAGTGCATCACTATAAATAAACTTCTCCTACTTTAAAATGTGAAATATTATACTCAATGACCAAACTTCATGATTAGGGAAACGAAAGAGAGATCAAAAACGAATTCTTCATACTTAGATGAGCAAAATCGACTGAGGAAGTCTAGACCCGAAGGAGCAACCTAAACCATGGACTGCAAAAGTACCATGTATCTTAGTTGAGCTTTGCCTCGCCTGGACATAACAATATACGTCAGGGTTGAAGCATGGACAGGCCGGCTATGTTCAACTTAATATGCGCATGTGATAAAGGTGACATAGAAGATTAAAAGATTTTGAAAAGAAAAGAAAATCGGAACGACTGGGTAGTCTTTTTAATTCTTTAAATATGGACAGACCAACTCAGTTCACCATTATTTTTAATTTCCCAAACACCCAGAAATGTGTAGCTTCCAAAAAACGATTACATTTCAATACAAAAGCTGAATAATAGACCAATATGCTAATTAAGAAAAAAACATAATAATAAAACCAGCTCTTTAAGGAACACAATGTGACATCGAATAAATAATCTGGATTCAGGGATGGCAAATCAAGCTTCACAAATCTCTGGTTATACGAGTTGCTGAGATAATACAGCGTGGAATTCAAAATGGCATTTGTCAAAGTGTCACATGGTTGCAGCTAGAGGGAAACTCGAATATATGAAGAAATTTGAATGAAAACAAATCTGTACAGTAAATTCGACTAAACACTCTATGAATACTGTAAAAAATGTAACGCTAAAATCGTTCTCAGAATCAACTATGTTTAATCGGAGTTGTACTTGGAAAATTCTATTTCTATACCTACAACAGTAGTCAGGTACAGTAATAGCAAAAGCGACATACACACACCGTTACAAGTTAGGAGAAGCTGCATTGAACGTGCCAAGAAAAAAAATGGAATAAATATAAATGGGAACGTAAACCCCGATAATCACAAAATCACCTAATCACCTCATCATAAGATCTCTCTCTCTCTCTCTCTTCTTGGTTTTAGCAAGAACAAAGATTAAGTGAAAAGAGTTCCTCGAGCGGCCACTACGCAGGGCTCAATTTAAAAGGATTCGAACAACGAAGAAAACTGAAGAAATTAGAACGTACAATAGAGGAAAAAAGAAAACGGGAGGGACGCGATTGCACTTTATGTGAACAGCGAATCTCAGGAATGGTGAAATTAGGAACAAGATATCAAGTGACTTTGGTTTCCAATCAAGACTCCTGGCGAGTGGAACAACCCCCAAGGAAACGTGGAACAATCAAGGAAACGCCCCAGGTGCCAAAACATACTCAAATAAAGAACAGCTACGAAGATGTATTTCCCCGTATAGGTAAGAACAAGCTAAGAACATGCACACACGAACACACAAACCCGACCACACCCACTCAAGAACCCTCTCGTTCACCCCTTCCCCCCCCCCCCCCTTAGCCTTACCTCACTCGGCAGTATCCGAAGGGCTGGATAGACTCCCAGGCCGTGACGATCCTGCAACCGGACTGGCAGGACAACACGACATTCTCGTCCTCCGGAGTTGGCTTCGCGAATCCGTACTTCTCGGAGAACTCTTCGGGACTCAGCTGGAAGGCCGTCTCGAACTCCGGGACTGGGGGGAGGGGGGGGGTCATGCGGAAGGAGAAATGAGTACTCTTGATACAAACATGCTGAGGCTATGTTGGGTGTATATTCTCCTTTTTAAAATGATCTTGGTTGGATATTTGATGGTATTTACTGTCACTGATATTTGTCAGGCAGTAGAAGGAATTATTATATTCGCCATCTGTAATTGCACTCGTCAATATAATAAACTCATTAATCTCATAACGTAATTCCCTCAACGTCATTGAAAATATAATGATAAATAAAAATAAAAATAGAATATAAAAAGAAGATATAAAGAGGAAGAAAGACTACAAAGCCCCATTAGACAAAATAAATCTTCAGGTGATAAAACGAATAAACAAAAATATAACAAAATAAACCCACCATTACAATCATAACAACAAAATAGATATAAACCTCCCAATGTAAACACAACAATAAAACAGGAATGACCCCACCAATACTATAAAAAACAATAAAATAAGGTAAATCACAATAATATGATGAATATAACCTCACCAATACCATAAAAAACAACAAAATAAAGTAAATCACAATAATATGATAAGTATAACCCCACCAATACCATAAAAAACAACAAAATAAAGTAAATCACAATAATATGATAAGTATAACCCCACCAATACCATAAAACAACAAAATAAGGTAAATCACAATAATATAACAAGTATAACCCATCCAATACCATAAAAAACAACAAAAGGTAAATCACAATAACATAATAAGTATAACCCCACCCAATACCATAAAAACAACAAAATAAGGTAAATCACAATAACATAACAAGTATAACCCCACCAATACCATAAAAAACAAGGTAAATCACAATAAAATAACAAATATAACCCCACCCAATACCATAAAAAACAACAAAATAAGGTAAATCACAATAAATATACAATATAACCACCAATAAAAAAACAAAAAAGGTAAATCACAATAAATAACAAGTATAACCCCACCCAATACCATAAAAAACAACAAAATAAGGTAAATCACAATAATATAACAAGTATAACCCAACCAATACCATAAAAACAACAAAATAAGGTAAATCACAATAATGTAACATATAACCCCACCCAATACCATAAAAAAAAAACAAAATAAGGTAAATCACAATAAAATAACAAGTATAACCCCACCCAATACCATAAAAACAACAAAGGTAAATCACAATAATATAACAAGTATAACCCCACCCATACCAATAAAAAAAACAACAAAATAAGGTAAATCACAATAATATATAATATAACCCCACCATACCATAATAAACAACAAAATAAGGTAAATCAAATAAATATAAAATATACCCCACCAATACCATAAAAAACAACAAATAAGGTAAATCACAATAATATAACAAATATAACCCACCCAATACCATAAAACAAAACAAAACAAGGTAAATCACAATAATATAACAAATATAACCCCACCCAATACCATAAAAAACAACAAAATAAGTTAAATCACAATAATATAACAAATATAACCCCACCCAATACCATAAAAAAACAACAAAATAAGTTAAATCACATATAACAATATAACCCACCCAATACCATAAAAAACAAGGTAAATCAGACCCCACCCAATACCATAAAAAAACAACAAAATAAGGTACAGAATCTTCCTTACGCGGGACATTATGACTCTTGGGCAGCTTCCCCGTCTCTCTGAGCTCCAGGGGGTCCCTCACGTCGATCAACACCAAGGCATCTGCATCGAGGCCGTCGACCAGGTCCTCGTAGGTTATTCCTGCGGGAGAGGAGAGGCTGAGGGGGGGTTGATGAGGGAGGGAAGGAGGGAGGGAGGGGGG